CTTGCTCCTAGTAGTAAGGCCAGGAGCCCCTAGTAGCGTCCTTGCTCCTAGTAGCAATGGCAGGAGCCCCTAGTAGCTTCTTGTTACTAGTAGTAAGGCCAGGAGCCCCTAGTAGCTTCTTGTTACTACTATTTGGCCAGGAGCCCCTAGTAGCGTCCTTGCTCCTAGTAGCGATGCCAGGAGCCCCTAGTAGCTTCTTGTTCGTAGTAGTAAGCCTAGTAGCGATGCCAGGAGCCCCTAGTAGCTTCTTGTTACTAGTAGTAAGGCCAGGTGCCCCTAGTAGCGTCCTTGCTCCTAGTAGCGATGCCAGGAGCCCCTAGTAGCTTCTTGTTACCAGTAGCGATGCCAGGAGCCCCTAGTAGCTTCTTGTTACTAGTAGTAAGGCCAGGAGCCCCTAGTAGCTTCTTGTTACTAGTAGCGATGCCAGGAGCCCAGTAGCTTCTTGTTACTAGTAGTAGGGCCAGGAGCCCCTAATAGCTTCTTGCTACTAGTAGTAAGGCCAGGAGCCCCTAGTAGCTTCTTGTTACTAGTAGTAAGGCCGGGAGCCCCTAGTAGCTTCTTGTTACTAGTAGTAAGGCCAGGAGCCCCTAGTAGCTTCTTGTTACTAGTAGTAAGGCCAGGAGCCCCTAGTAGCTTCTTGTTACTAGTAGTAAGGCCAGGAAGGTTTGTGAGTTTTTTTGTCAAGTAGCTGTATCGCCGTTTGCCCGAGAGGGCCCTGAGCGCTGAGCAATCGATAGTATAGCTTTGGATGCTTTGGCGACAGATATCGTTGATTCTTGTCAGGACATAGGTCATATATATTTATATGGTCATATCATATTACAGGTCAGTTTGACCTCATTTTACTGGACCGTGGTCATACAAAAGCACTACCTATATAGGGATGTAAAAGACCAGCTTTGGACCTGGGTCAGACTGGTCGAGTTTGTTCAGACGTGTGATGTCAGCACTGCACACTGACTGGAGGCCTTCACGAGGGAGGCTTCAGCTACTTCGCAACGTTTCATCCAAGCTTATTGGATTGGCGACAAGAAATTCCTGACTTGGCCGGAGCCATAGAGCCATTGGGTCCCGAACTGGGCCGGCCGTTTTGATCGCTCTTTTCGTTCGCTGGTCCTGGGAAGATTAGCTGGTGCCAGAAAAGTCTCACACACACCCTAGGGATCCAAAAGTAGTAAAATAAACAACTGTTCTCCTAACAGTAGTTGTTTTGCCAAACCATCTTTTCTCAGAGGTGTTTTCGCTTCGCAAAAATGGTTGTCGATCGAAAGGTCCTAGACAGCATTGTGTATGACAATGACCCCCGGAACATATCAAAATCTCATTTGGCGAAAGTTTTTTCTCGAGTTGGCGAAAGTAAATGTTGTTTGGCGAAAGATCTGGCGAAAGATTAAATATGTACCTTGGTGTGAGTGTTCATTTGCTTCCTGAACAGCTGGTGGCAGGGACTCAGAAGTTAGATGAGCTGTGGAAGTTAGATAACCTGCTGCTGCTGCTGCGGCTACTCCCACTACTACTACCACTACTACTACGACTACGACTAATAATAATAACAATAACTAACTACTACTAACTACTTCTGCTACTACTACTACTACCACTACCACTACTACTACTACTACCACTACTACTACTACTACTACTACTACTACTACTACTACTACTACTACTGCTACTCCTACTACTACTACTACTACTACTACTACTACTACTACTACTACTACTACTACTACTACTACT